TCTCCAGCTTCCTCCAGCCACCATGTCTCCCTGCCATGACAGACTGCAATTCCCCAGGGACTGTAAGCTCAAATAAGCTCTTCCTTCTATAAATTGCTTCAGTCAGTGTTTCTGTCACAGCAACAGAAAAGTAACTAATACAGCATTTGTGCTTTTTTTCTTTCCTTGCAAGGCAATAGGGATAAAAATAATTCAACTGTAAACCTAAAAATGTGCAGCCAGTTCTGAAAAAGATGCATCTTAGCCCAGAAAATTGTTATTGTATATGTTAGAGCTATAGTGAAATGCTTCTTCTAATCATGTAGTTATTAAAAAAAATTTTAATTATTAAAAAAGAAAGCTTTATATTTTCTGTAATGTACACTTATGGTTGTAATTCATCATACATATATGTGATTTACACACCTCAATTAAATGCCCTCAGCAGAGGGGGTGAATGCTGGGAACCAGACCTGCCATTGTGAGCAATGTGTGAAGGAAGTGAATTACCCACTTCCTCAAGCTACTCTCAGTTTCTTCATTCCTCTCCCTGTTCCTGGGTGTTATCCCAGGTATTAATAGGTTTTCACACAGCACACCCTTGAATCCAAGCCAACTACTTCAGCCGGTGATGCCTACTTAAAAGAATGACTGCATCCATTGTTAGCAGAGAAAACACAACACTAGACTTATCTGTACTCCATGGTCAATTTAAGGGACCTCAAGGGTAACATGACTATAGTGATTTACACTTTATGCAACGCCTCTGGAACTTATCTCAGGGTAATATGTGTTCTATTAAATCAACCCTTAACTTACAACTGTTTACAAGTAAGTTACTGCATAACTGTTAGCAGGATTTTATTGGATCTTAGACTACCAAAGTAAGAAAAAATAAATTTGTCTTGAAGTCAAGATGTCTGCTGACTAAATAAATCTCTTCTAGAACTCAAATATATTCTCTAACAACAGCAACAAAATGCTCTTCTGAGATTACTGATTCGAACAATAATTGTATCATTTCTTCCCACTGTGTCTTAAGATTAAATGAAATGTAAGTCTTTTTCTTAATAAAGGAAGTAGATGAAGTGGGTGCTAAAGAAATGTGGCCCAAATACTTCAAGTTTTGTCCATAGTCTGGCAGCCTCAAGGTGTACCAAATGTGATTTGAAAGGAGTAAGGCTAGCACTCACAAAAAAAACACACATCCAAAAGTCTATAAATGGGGCAATACAAATACATCACTTAGTACACAGTAGCAGACCAAGTTGAGTCTTAATGATCAATATATACGGATTATTCTTAGTAGAAGTAATGTTTTACTCAGGAATGCTTCCCAATAATCATTAAGTGAAGCATAATCTTTCTTTTCCATTATACAGGGATTGAACCTAGGTCCTCAGGTATACTAGACAAGTGCTCTACCCCTGAGCTGCAATCCTAGCTCATAATGTTCCTTTACTTAAATCATAATCCCATATGATTTTTTTTTTAATCTTTTGAAGCAGGGTCTCCCTGTAGCCCCAGCTGACCTGGAACTCACTATGTATACCAGGCTGGCCTTGAACTCACAGAGATCCGCCTGCCTCTGCCTCCCAAGTGCTGGGACTACAGATGTGCGCCACCACGCCCGGCTCCATATGAATTTTTGTAAGGGAGATTTTTCTTCCCTTTATCAAGAACAAAATCCTGCACAAGGGCCTAAATCACTATCTCTAATATCATTACCCTTAAGCTTTTAATAAACTTGAAAAAAAGAATTTGGTAAACTAAAGACCTCCTGCAGGGAAGAGAGGACTCCTTGGAATAGTCTCCAATTGGAACCCAAGTTTCTGTAATTCTCAACCTTTAAAACATTTTCTAAATTACATTTTATTTATTAGTGGAGGTAGGGAGACACTTGTGCTTGCCATGATCCTTGGGTGGAAATCAGAAAACAGCATGAAGGAGTTGGTTCTCACCTTCCACCATATGGGATCCCAGGATTGAACTCAGGTAGTAAGGTCAGGAGGCAAGTGCTTTTATCCATTGAGCAATCTCATCAGTCCTGAACCTTTTAATTATGGTAAAGGGTCATTTGCCAGCATGTCCTGCCATTCACTTCAGGAATTAAAGTCTCCCCCTGCCAATTCCAAGCCACTCACAACAGGCTAGTTTAAGAAACAGGAGCTGGAGCTGGAGTTAAGAGCACTGGTTGCTCTTGCAGAGTGCAAGGGTTCTGTTCCCAGCACCCACATGGCGGCTAACAACCGTAGCAACTCCAGGTCCAGGAGCTCTGACTCCCTCTTCTGGCCTTCACATAGGCATTGCACGACATGCGTGCACTTACATACATGCAGGCGGACCACTCATACACATAAAATAAATAAGTAATAAATAAACAGAAACGGGAACACTAGCTTTTACCGGCGCTAGCCTGGTAAATGAATGAAAGCCCCCCAACCTCCCAGAATCTGAATTTGCCAGGCACAGGGTCCCTTCTTCTAAGTTCATCATCCCAAAAACCACGGCATCTTTGCTCAAACCCACAAGGGCGCGCCAGCTTCCAAAGACAGTCAAGGCCTAGAAAAGATGCTTCCGGTCCTCTGGCTGAGAAAACCATTCCCACTTCCACCTCCATTCACCATCTCCCCCTGGCCGTCACCTTTCCACCCAAAGGCGGCTCCGCAAGGCCCAGGCGCAGAGCAGCCACATCCTTCGCACCCACCTCCCGAGGGGGCGGAGCGCTCACCTGCTCGATGGCAAGCTGCACCTCGGGCGTCAGCTGCAGCACAGCCTCCAGCTCCTCCACGAACTCCAGTTCCTCCTCCTCCATCATCCCTCCGCTCAGCCTCCGGGGACCGACTCCAACCCCGCCCCGGCTCGGTCACCAGGACCCCAGAATCGCAACCCTCCAGCTGCAGCGCTCCAGCTCGGTCAGGCGGCTCGGCACTTCCGGGAAGCCGGCGCTTCCGGAAACCGAGGAACTCTGGGATAGCAGAGGACTTAGCTCTCGGAGGCGGAGCGGGTGGGGGGAGAACCGACTCCTGTCAGGTCCTGGGAGTCTCCTGAGACGGCCCTCCACCGGGGCCCATCGTCCCCTACAGGGCGCGCACCCTGCTGACGCCGCGGTGTCGCCCGAGAGCCGGGGCGCCCTGGTGAGTGGCAGCCCCTCAGCGTGGCGACCTGCGGGCCACCCAGCCGGCTCGCCTCCCGCTCGCTGGGCCCCCTTGGTCAGGGGCAGTAAGTGTGCCCCTGCCATCGGGAGTGAAATGACCCCAGCCGGTAAGTGGCGAGGTTGCCAAGGACATCTGAAATTTGGGAGAGCATCCGCTCGCTGGCTAAGTTGCTTGTGTGCGAACCCAGTTTTCTGGAGTGACTGGGGCTCCATTGCTAGAGTAGGGGAAAACAAAAAGCAGTGCCCTGAACGCTGGGAAATGTTTATTTTCTGAGACTGAATAATATCAGGGCTCTAAATCCTTGTTTACATCAATGATAATCGTGTGATCGTGAACAAAGTACTCTATCTGCCCCGCATACTCCTACATTGGATGGAGTAAGCATTAAATATTAAAAGTATTCTGCAAATTTAATCTGGTAGTACAGGAAATGTTAGGGTGGCTAACCCTAAGCATTACAAGGAGAAAAGGAGCCAGATCACCCTGTAGAACCACTTTCCAGCAGACCTTAAAACAAAGAGGGAGTTGCAGCCAAGGGAAGGGTTGCCTTACCAGTTCAGCATTGTGAAACTCTGGTGGAGTCATCTCTGGCCCTGCTGAATTGTTTTCCCTTTTACAAGTTTGTGGTGTCGGAACTTTATTGTAATGTTAGTTTTCCAAACAATAATTGTGTAAGCAATATAATTTCTAACAACCAAGGGATGCTTGAAAATATAAATTGGAGATGACTCAACCAGTAAAAACACTTGCTGTCAAACCTAATGCCTGAGTTGGGTCCCTGGAACCAACATGGTGGAGCAAGAGAACTGGTTCCCACAAGTTGTCATCTGACCCTCACACACTCATCACACATGTACACACACACACACATTGATTCATAAAATGATTTGGAAAATTATTTAATGACATGAGAATATATATACAGTGTATTCAGAAAGCAAAATGTATATTTCTGAAAAGCAAAATTGACCAGGAGTGGTGGCACAAGCCTATAAACTCAGCACTTGGGAGATGGAGGCAGTAGGATCAGGAGTTTAAGGCCACCCTGGGTTACATGAGACCCAGTCTCAACAACAACAAAAACAATGGCAAGGAAATATTATTTTACTGCTTTTTCCCACGTCTACAATGAACATGTAATACTTTTATTATCAGAAAATGTAGGTGCCAACTGTATATACATGCCTGTAAAACCTAGTACTCAGGAGTCTGAGGCAGGAAGATTGAGAGTTTGAGGCCAGCTGGGCTATGCAATGAAACTGTCTCAAAAAACAAAAGCAAAGACTGAAGAGATGGCTCTGACATTAAGAATGCATATTGCTGGAGACCCCACCAAATGGACTTGAACCAGGTCCTGTCTACAAAGAGGAAGGTCAACACAGAGGAAACATTTCCTCTATGCTTCCAAGTGAAGCCAGCCATAGTCAAGTAGGACCTTTGACTTATCTCACATAGATGGAACTGGTAAAAGAAAGGAGCCAGTTGGGCGTGGTGGCGCACGCCTTTAATCCCAGCACTTCGGAGACAGAGGCAGGCAGATCTCTGTGTGTTCGAGGCCAACCTGGTCTCCATGTCTCCATAGTGAATCCAGAACAGCTGGGGCTACAGGGAGACCCTGTCTCAAAAAAAAAAAAAAAAAAAAAAAAAAAGGACCCAGGGGCTCCTCTCAAGCCCATGACCTAAAGAGTAAAAAAATTAATTGGTTTATCTGGGCCAACTGTATGGTCTTTTTTTTTTTTTTTTTGCCTCTGCCTCCCGAGTGCTGGCATTAAAGGCGGGTGCCACCATGCCTGGCTAAATAATTATTTTTATTTTATGTGTATGAGTGCATTGCCTGTATGTATGTGAATGCACCCATGTCGTGCAATGCCGTGGAGGACAGAAGAGAGCTTCGGATTCCCCCGGAACTGGAGTTAAGGACAGTTTGTATCTGCCTTGTGGGTGCTGAGAATGGAACCAGGGTCCTCTGCAAGAGCAGTCAGTGCTCTAAACCACTGAGCCATCTCTCCAGCCCCAACTGTATGGTCTTAAACACCCAAATGGAAAGTATAACCAAAGAGTAAAAGTCATCAGCATATTTCCTTAAGTGTTCAAAGAATTACACTTCCCAGACATTAGGCTAAAGTCCATATAAAAAGTGATTTAGACAATTATTTCTCATTGATGATTTTATTCCTAATCAGAAAGTGCCGCTCATAGAACTGGGAAAATGAACAGCAGACCCCAATCTTATCTAAAGGAATATTGGCAACTGATTGCTGCTAGATGAAGAAGAGCTGATCTTCCTAAAACAAGGAACTCCAGATAGGCTGACTAGATTCAGCAGATGGACAAGCACTGGAGAACAGTGTGGGCAATGACAACACAGTGGACAGTAACAGGGATGACAGAGTATATGGGCTCCAGTGGTGGGGATGCTATGGGAGGGTGCCATTTGGGATGTGGGTATATAGACAAATGAGATTGTTTGGGATGTTCTGTATGATATACACACACAAAAATCAACAAATAAAAAATGAATTATATTTGAAAAAAATGCATATTGCTCTTCCAAGGAGTCAGTTCATAACCACCTGCAACTCCAGCTCCAGGTCATCTGAAGTCCTCTTCTTGCCTCCATGGGCACCCATGTGTATACACATGGCACACACACACACACACATATTTTTTTTAAATGAAATTAAAAAAGATGTAAAGGAGAATGAGTAAGAAGAAAAATGAAGGAAAATATATCTCATTCTTAAAGGAAAGTGCATTATCTACTGCGTTTTTTAAATTTTCTTTTGTTTTTTGTTGTTTTTTTGGTAGCCTCAGCTGGCCTGGAGCCCACTATGTAGACCAGGCTGGCCTTGAACTTACAGAGATCCACCTGCCTCTGCCTCCTGAGTGCTAGGATAAAAGGTGTGTGCCACACCTGGCTACTAGTGTCTTATTTTTCAATTTCAAATTAAGATATGGTTTACATACAATAAAATTGACCCTTTTCAGTTTCTAATGCCATGAATTTTGATAGTTGCATATAGTTACATGAGCACAGTCCTAAGACATTTCCATCATCCCCTACTTTCCCTCATACCCCATTGCATTGTCTGGCAACCACTAACCTGATTTTTATCCTTAGAGTTTGGACTTTTCCAGAATTTCATATAAATTCCATATAAAAGGACTTGTATATTATATCACCTTCTGAGTCAGTCTCTTCTCACTTAATGCATTTGTGACTCATCCATGAGGTTACTTCTGTCAGCAATTTGTTTCTTCTTACTGTGTAGTATTCTACTGATTTGTTTATCTACTTGCTGGTTTAAAAGCATTTGGGTTGTTTTCAACTCTGGGAAATTGTGACTAAAGCTGCTATAAACATTCCTCTATAAATTTTTCTGTAAGTTTTCCTTTCACTTTAAGTATATAACTAAGAAGTGAGATTGCTAGATTGTATGGTGTGTCTGTGTTAAACTTTATAAGCAAGCGTATTATGTTCACATCCCTCCCAGCAGTGTGTAGGAGTTTTGGATGCTCAAAGAGTTCATTTTAATGATGATAACTAACATTTCCTCATGCTTACTATATGCCATGCACATACTAAGCATACTGCATACCTTGACTTAATCCACACAGAAATTCTGAAGTTTGTAATTATCATTATCCCAATTTAACAGATGAGGAAATGGATTAATGTCTAGTTAAAAAAACAAACCAAGACCAGCCTGGTCTACATAGTGAGTTCCAGGAAAGCTGGGGCTACAGGGAGACCCTGTCTCAAATCGACCAAAAAATAAAGAAAGAAAGAAAATACTTTTTTAAAAAGACAGCTAGGCCAGCCTGGGCTGCAGGGAGACCCTGTCTCAAAGAGATGAGAGGAGAGAGAGAGAGAGAGAGAGAGAGAGAGAGAGAGAGAGAGAGAGATAATAAGAGAGTGATAGAGCAGGACACCTGATGTCCTCCGTGGCCTCCACGTACCCCCCCATATACACATGCATATACTACACATACACAAAACATCCAAAAAGCCAGTGCCTTTTTGGGGGATTGAGCCCAGGGCCTCATAGATGCTAGGCAAGCACTCTGCCACTACACTATACCCCTATCCCTCCTTTTACTTTTTATTTTAAGACACGTTCTCATTAAGTTGGTCTTGAATTCATTCTGTAATACATACCAAGGCTGCCTTGAGTTTGTGATCCATCTACCTACCTCGGCCTCCTGAGTAGCTGGGATTACAGACTGCACCACTAGTCTTGACTAAGATGGTGTCTCTATTCAGCTTTTCTCTGTATAACAACCTTATAAAGGTTTGATCCCCAGCACTACAAACAAATGAAATTACAGGATGTCTAAATTACCCATTCGATGCCTACTAAATTGTAATAGTACCGCCTTCTAACAGTGATATAGCCAAAGGTACGCCCACACAAATTTACAAAATATTCCCTAGGGCTCTTAAGCGCAATCACATTTAAATCCAGTAGTCATTATGGGTGGCCAAATTCTGACCATATTTTTGTTGTTTTGTCTGTCTTTTTGAGACAGGGTCTTACCACGTTGCCTAGCCAGGCTGGCCTCAAATTCATAATCTTCCTGTCTCCTCCTCTCGAGGCTTTCAAAGACCATCTTATAGAATATCCTGTAGTTTAGTTTTGATGTAGAATTTTACTCTCAACATTCTCATGGTACTTTTTTATTTTTATTTTAAATTTTTTGATTTTTTAAAAAAATATTTAAGGCTGGGCATAGTGGCCACGCCTTTAATCCTAGAACTTGGGAGGCAGAGACAG